CCTGACAATAAAAATTCTTACCATATTTCTTTGTCCTACCCCCACTCCCATCCAAAGACTCCAGCACTAAAAGGGGAGGGGCACTAGAGATGCAGTTTATATAGCTCTGAGGCAGTGTTTGTCTAGCTTATGTAAAGCTCTGGGTTTGATCTTTACTGAAATAATATAAAATAATAAATACCTTAGGCTGTTGAGATGGGTAAAAGAAGCCTGCCACCAGTTCCACCCCCAGAACCTACTTACCAGGAGGAGGGGAGCCAACTCCGGAAAGTTATCGTTAGACCTCAGCAAGTGTGCTATGGCATGAAGGTGTCCCTTGGCTATGCATGAAGTATGCGCATAGCGATACTGTGTCCTGCAGCCTTGTTCACCACCTCCATGGGCTTTCATAGTTACCTTGTGTGTGTGGATTCTTTATACCTTTCTGGACACAAGATGGTGTGATCGGCTAGCCATGGTGGTGATTTTTCTTCCTTCTTTTCTACCTGGGTGTGTTTTCTGGTTCTGACCACCTAATCGTCCAGGTTCCCATTCCTTGAATCATTTTAGAGGAAGTGGCTGAGCAAAACATCCTTGTTTTGTTCCTGTCTTACCCCCTTAGTGATGGTATCAGCTGTGTTTGTTCATAGGTATCTAAGACCTTTGAGGAAGTTTCCTTTTCTCCCAGTGTGCTAAGCGCTTTGTCAAAGAGTGTTGTTGAATGTTATTGATGCTTTCCCTTTGCTTGGTGAATTGCTTTGTCCCTTTGGAGCAGGATATTTATTTTTATAGATTTATTTTATTTTATTGTGTATTAGTGCTTTGCTTGCACGCATGTCAGTGTTTTCCTCACAGGCCAGAAGATGGTGTTGGATCCCTTGGAACTGGCGTTACCGACGGTTGTGAGCTACCATGTGGGTAGCTCACTGGAACTGAACCCTGATCCTCTGTAAGGGTAACTAGTGCTGGTAGCAGCTGAGCCATCTCTCCAGCTCCCCAGCCCCCTTTTGTTTAACCAGTTGGAGAGTTGTACGCTTAGATTTTTCACCAAACCTACTTTATTTAGGGTTCCTTCTTTTTAAAAATTATTTATTTTATGTGCATTAGTGTGAAGGTGTCAGATCCCTTGGAATTGGCAATATAGACAGTTGTGAGCTGCCATGTGGGTGCTGGGAATTGAACCTGGGTCCTTTGGAAGAGCAGACAGTGCTCTTGACCACTGAGCTGTCTCTCCAGCCCCTTATTTAGGGTTCTTAAACACCTTTACCTCCCTTCCAACCCTCAACCTTAGGTAGGGGACTAGTAGGGAAAAGGGCTATAGACCTGTTTTATCTACTTCCTGATGATTAGGGTCTACGAGTCTTTCGGGGATTATCAAACTCAGTCGTCAGGACACCAGCAGTACAGTCCAAAGGCCAACACCAAGCAGCAGCATGAAGTCAGGGAAAGCCACAAGACTCAGTTGGATTGCCCCAAGAAGTTCTCTGGAACATCCTTTCTGCGAAGTCAAGTGTTGACTATGAAGAGCAGTGCAGCGATGTCAATCTAAAAAGGGACCCCTCACCGTGTGTGGGCCTCAGTGTATCTCTTCTTAGAGTTCACCCATGGATGTTCTCAGCTGGCCAAGGTTATACCCCTCACATGTGAGGGCTCACAGAAAAACATCATGTGCCCTCTCACCAGCCAACCTCCAGCAAAACATCACATGACCAAACTGAGTCTTTAAGAAAACCAGAAATTTCCACGTCTAAGAGTCATTTATTTTTTTTTTGTTCCCAGTAAGGCATCTTTTTTGATGGCTTTATGATAGCCAGCCTGTAACCTTTTGTGCTCAGTACTGAACTGGGACTGGACTTTTAGTCCTAAGCAATCTTATTGATGTGGAGTTCCTGTTTTCTCTCTAGTTAACATTCCCCATGATATTTTAAAGTTGCTTTAAATTTGCATTCAGCAAACTACACTTTTTTGGTATACATTTCTATAAGATTTTTTTCTCTTTTTTTTTGAGATTATAATATAGTTATGTTTTCTCATTCCCTTCCTCCCTCCAAAGCCTTTTATACACTCCTTCTTGTTCTTTTTCAAAATCATGGCTTCTTTTTTTTTTTTTTTAATTAATTGCTGGTGTGTGTGTGTGTGTGTGTGTGTGTGTGTGTGTGTGTGTATGCGTGTGTATGCTTGTATATGAATCCCTAGCTATAACCTGCTCTGTCTGTATAATGTTACTCATATGTATGTTTTTAGGACTGAACTTTAGGTCCTGGATGACCAATTGGTATGCTCTTGTCTGGAGATGACTATTTCTCCCACCCCAGCTTTTCTTAGTGGCCTGTAGTTCTCTGTGTAAGGCTGAGGCCACATGGGCTCTTCCATTCACTTTGGCATGTCTGTTGGTGTTGTCCTCATTCTGCTCAAGTTTAGGCATTCATATTGGTAAGAATTTATGGGTGTAGCTTCTGACATTCCGAGGAGACACAACCTCACAGCAAACTCCCTGATTCTCTTGCTCTGACTGTCTTTCAGCTCCCTCTTCTGAAAGGTTACGTGAGCCTTAGGTGTAGGAGTGTTTTACGGTTGTTTGCACTGGCACTGGGCTCCACAACTCTGCATTGTGATTGGCTATGGTTTTCTGCAATGCTCTCCATCTACTGCAGAGAAAAGTTTTATTGATAATGGGTGAGGACTACACTTATCTGTGGGTATCTTTATACCCACAAATATTTAGAATGCAACCAGGGATTATGCTGGTTTGGTACAGTGACGGTTGCAGGTTCTCTTCCAAGATCCATGACTTCACTGGCACCAAGTAGTTGGCTATATTTTCAGTACCGGGAATATTTCCCGTCTTGTTGAGAGGGTCCTAAGTCCAATTAGAGAGCTGTTGGTTACCACTGAGGTAACTGAGGGATGTATGCCACTACTGTACCCACAGGGTTATCATGCCACGCTGGCCCATTGCTGTGCTCATAAACATCATGGCTGAGTAGGATTGCTGTTTGCTTTCCTCCTTTCCATGCTTACTTGGTGCCTTCTGACAGTCCTCATGGAGGAGGTGTGGAGGTCAGTTCCAGCTCAGGGGTCTCTGACTCCTGTTTCTGAAATGTGTTCAGCAACAGAGATTTACCTTCCACCCTTGCCCTGCCTCACTTTTGAGACACGGTCAAATGTAGCTTGGGCTGACTTCAAACTTGTTATCTAGGCAAGGATTGTGGCTTTTTTTTTTTTTTTTAAGATTTATTTATTTATTATGTATACAATGTCAGTCTTCACGTACATCTTCAGGCCAGAAGAAGATACCAGATCTCATTGTGGATGGTTGTGAGCTACCCTGTGGTTGCTGGGAACTCAGGACTTCTGAAGAGCAGACAGCGCTCTTAATCGCTGAGCCATCTCTCCAGTCTGCCTAGGATGGTTTTAAACTCCTGATCAGCCTGCCCCCACCTCCCAAGCACTGGAATTACAGCGTGCCCCATCACACCAGGCTCCTTTCAGAAGAGTTTTTAAAAGGGTCTCCAAACAGTAACACGCCCCACCCCAGATCCCAGTGTGCAGCTAGTACAGGAGCTGTGTGGCTGCTCTTGGTTTTCCATTTCACCACTCTGACTGGAATACTGTTATCAAAACCCTTGTGTGTAAAAAGGTTGGGTAGCTGAGGATAGCCTTGAATTCCTGGTCCAGTTTTCGCCACCTCCCAAGTATTGCGATTACAGGCCAGAAACATTTGAAAACTTTATTGTATTGCTGCCATTATCATTAGTGTGTGTATGAGCGCATGTGTGCTAGCATGTGGGTGTGCTGGCTTTGGGAGGGTCAACTGAGGCTGACATGCCTGCTCAGCCCCTGCGTTATCCACTGAGCCATCTTCTCGGCTAGATATTTCTCTCTGTCTGTCTGTCTATCTATTTATTTATTTTTGAGACAGGGTCTCACTTTGGTGCTCAGGGTAGCTGAGGACTCACTATGTAATCCGAGCTGGCCTTGAACTTTCTGTATAGTTCTTCTGTCTCAGCCTCCAGAGTGCTAAGTTCAAGTCTATGGTCTTGTGTCACCACATCCCGTTGAAATCCCAAAATATTTCCTATCTGGAACTTTTACACAAATTTGCCAATTCCTCCTCCTCCTCCTCCTCCTTCTTCTTTTTTTGTCTTTTTTATGGTTTCTAAAGATGCTGTGATGGAGCAATACAGTGTCATTTTGCACGCATGTTTTAATGGACCGAGTCTCCCTGAGTACAAGTGCTAGGTCTTAAGTGTTGATATTTGTCATTTTGAAAGATATTACCAAATAACGAAGCTCAGCTGGCTTATACTCTGTCCAAGGTACACATGCCTCAGCCTGTTGCCCCACAGCCTCCACTGTTAACAACTTGACACTGCCAATCTGATAACAGAAACACGCTGTTCATTGTAGTCTGAGTTTGCTGTTCTTGGATTACGAATAAACGTTAGCATTTTGGGTCTGAACAGTTTTTGTTTTTAATTAATTAATTAATTAATTAAACATCAAATTATCGGCCAGTCAATCAATCCATCAATCAACAAACAAGCAAATTAATACATTTTGGAAACAGGGTCCCACTCTGTAGCCCAGTCCAGCTGGAACTGGTGCCTGATCTTCCTGATCCAGTCTCCCAAGCGTTGAGGCTACAAGCAAGAGCCACCATCACTCCTGGATTATTTTATTTTATTGACTTATCTTTGCTGGGTTGGGGACTGACTCCAGGGTGACCAGCATGCTTAAGAAAGCGCTTCATTATTGAGTCACCTTTTAAATTCCCCCTGGGCAAATTTTCCCTGTCCAGTCCACTCAGGAAGCGGGAGTTGGCCTCTGGTGGAGGGCTGGCGGCGGGATGCAGGGCGTGGTTCGGCGGGAGGCTGAGGCCCTGGACCCCCCCACCCCCACCTTCCAGCCCTCCCTCTTCCCTCTGTGGTCTGGGAGCTCCGCCCAGAGTCAGCCTGGGGCTGGTCTGGGCGGAGCACGTGGGTCGGTGGGCGGAGCCGAGAGCCTCATTTATTCCTGGGCGAGAGGAGCGGACGCAGCAAGCCGCGGGTCCCAGCATCAGAGAGAGTGGACTCTTTCCCGAGTCCCGCAGCATGAAGCTCTCCCACGCGCTGGCCGCCCTGGGCGGCGTGCTGCTCTGCGCCTCCGGCCTCTTCGCCGCGTCCGGTGAGTCCCTCGCACCGCCCTTTGGGCCTCGCCCCTCTTCTGCCCGCCGCTCGGAAGTTCTCAGCGGCGCCCTCCCTCCACCCTTACTGTTGACAAACTTGAGCCAAGCCTAGGGGACCCCCTCCGGGGCTGGGGCTGCTCCCGGATGGCAGAGGCGGACGTGCTCAGCCTCTGCGCGCTCTGCGCTGGGGCCTTGGGGTAGTGATAGTGGCTTGTGCACAGAGCGGTGACCCTGGACACCCAGTGACAGCCGTGCCTCCCCGGGGTTGTGATTTACACATAACAAAGGAATCCGCTGCGTCGTGCCTCTTTGCAGCCTCTGTAAAATGAGGCCACCGGACTATGCCTGCTCTCTAGAGTCTAGAGGTACATGCCTGCAGGTACATCTGCAGCTAACTTTCCCCGCAACTCTCTCGCGAACCTGCCTGGCTGGAGAATCCAAAGAACTTTTTTGCGCCCCACTTGTTGAGCCGATGTGAGAGACCGGGCTGTAGGTGGGGCCCGTCAGGAACGAGAAAAGGGCTTCCTGCCCCTGACTGGCCTTGGCCGGCTGCTTTATCTTCTCTAGCCCTCCTCCTACGCTCGGAGGTCCCTGGTAGACATTTGGGCCGCGTGCAAAGTTATGCTGGAGAAAGCAATGCCCACATGGGGCGGGGTGAGCTCAGGAGCTTTTCAGGCAGCCCTTCCGTCTTTTTTTTTTCCCCCCCATAGAAATGGGACTGGCTGAGGCAGGAGACATCACCCCTGGGCCCAGCTCTGTCGGTCGTGTTAGCACAGGATCTGACCTAGGGCACAGAGCTGAAGGCATTGGGTGCCCCCAGCTTTCACGAACTGGCAACTCCTGGTCCCTCTACTAGGCTGCAGAGATGCTTGGATCTCCTCTGAACCTTTCCACTCCTCCCCTCTGCCCTCTTCACAACCTTCGCCCTGGCCAAATGTCCCTGGGACAGTTTCCGGAACAGGACCCCAATTTGTAGAGGTGCTGGTGTCTCACAGGCAGTTGACCAGCCTCAGTCTCCTTTCTGTTTTCTTCTCTGGAGGCTTGGTTTGATCCCACGTGTAGCAAAGGCTGGAAGAGGAGCCCTTGTTGGGACAGGATGCCTTGGCCATTCCGGAGCTTCCATGTGAGGCTGACTGTGCCCTTCCAGGTCAGAGGGGATTAACCTGCTATTTAAAGCCAGTGACTAATAGTTCTGCGGCAGCGCCTTAAGATCCCCAGGCCCCTGCTGAGGTGGAGTTATGTGGGCTGGTGCTTGTTAATGGTGTCACCAGCCTCCAACTTGGGAGCCTGGGCTCCCCGGGGCCTTGAGCTTTGAGGAGGGCCCTTGTGCCTTGGATGGTTGACTAGGAGGAGAAGAGATATCTTAGGTTTGATCCCAGTGCCAAGTTTGGGGTCCAGTCTAGTAGAACGCCAAGGTCCGGCAGAGGACCCTCCCGTCCAGCAGACCAGTGTCAGGGGACCCTGAACAGATGGGAGTAAGGTGAGCTTTTGGGGTAGGGTGCCTCCAGTCCCTGTCTGGGCATGGAGGTGGGGTGGGGTTTGCCAGTCACTTGGCTGAGGTCTTCAGATCACAGGCCAGGTGATCTCAGGCCCAGCCTAGCCACCCTCCTCCTGTGTTCTCCGTCCTGGCTGACAGTGCACAGCTGTCACCCAGGGCTCTCCAAAAGCTCTGGCATCTTTTTTCCAGCCTTCCTCCACCGCCTCAGTCAAACTCACCTGCTTGCTCCTGTTCCCTCTGCCCTCATGTGCTTCCTCATCATTCAATCTGGGAGCTTCATCAGCTGCCGCCAGACCTCATGCACTTTAGGGGACCATCAGCCTTCTCGTGGGACTTTCAGCCTTCCTCCTTTCAAACTTCAATCTGCAGAGAGAGAGAGAAAGAGAGAGAGGCAGAGAGAAACAGACACACACACAGACAGAAGACAGGGAGGGAGGCAGACACATACACACACACACACACACACAGAGAGAGAGAGAGAGAGAGAGAGAGAGAGAGAATATGATATGACTGGGACTTGTTAGCCAATGCTGGGGCAGCATACAAAGTCTAAACTTGTCATTCTTAAAGTCCTTCTCTTTCTGGCCTAAGTCCAGCCACATCTGCACCGTTCTCCAACATACCGTGTTCTCAGTGTATCTGCTTCTTTCTCTCTAGAATATTATTTTCTTATTCCTCAGCTTGTCACCCCCCACACTCTGTGATATATATGACATGCATATTTACTTCATTGTCTAGCTTGTGTGAGCCTGAGTGTATTGTATGTGCAACACTTGCTTGCAGGAGCCTTCAAAGGTCAGAAGAGGACACCAGATCCCCTGAGATAGGTGGTAGTAAGCCACCATGTGGGTGCTGGGACCCGAAGCAGGGTTTTCTGCCAGAGCATTATGTGCTCTTAATTTCTGAGCCATCTCTCTAGTCCTGTCTTTAAGGTATATTTTATCTTAAAAATAAAAAAAAAATGACGTACACATGTCTCTGTGCGGGTGTGTGCATGTGAGTATAGGTACCTGAAAAGGTCTGGTTTCAGACCCCTTGGAGCAGGAATTACAGGCAGTTGTGAACTACCTTACCCGGGTGCTGGGATCCAAACCCCAGTCCTCTGGAAGAGCAGCAAGTGCTCGCAGCCTGAGCCAGGCTTCTATCCTCGTGCGTTTCATTTTTGGTAGTGCTGGGGATTGAACCCAAGGCCTTGCCCATGCTAGGGAGGTTCTCTATCATTAAGCTATATGCTTAGCTGGCTCACTGGCTTCTTGAGGAGAGGATAACAGCTAACTTGGCTCAGGAGTCCAGCGTGTGCACGTGGTAGCCAGACCCTGTAAGGGCTTTTACCAATCAATCATGTTTGAACTGTGGTTACAGGTGACCTCTGTGACCCCAGCCTGTGCCTGAATGGTGGGACCTGCTTGTTGGACCAAGACAATAATGTCTACTGCCTCTGCCTTGAAGGCTTCACGGGCCCCGTGTGCAACGAGACTGAGAAAGGTACCTGCTCCCAGTGGCCTGCCTTCCCCTTCTCTTCCCAAGTGGCTAGCCTTTGTTCCAGTAGAAGCTCCCAGACACTTGGAAAAGCCAGCACTTTTAGTATCTGGGCAAATCCATCTTCTCATCTGAGGATGGATCATTTGAGGCTGGACCCTGTGTTGTCTTTTGGACTGTTCTCAGCTCTTTTCTTGCCTCCAGGTCCCTGCTCCCCAAACCCTTGCCACCATGGTGCCAAATGCCGGGTGACTGAGGGCACACAGCGTGGAGACATTTTCACTCAGTACATCTGCCAATGCTCTGAGGGCTACTCAGGCACCCACTGTGAGATCAGTAAGTACCAGGGGTCTCTTGCGGGGCGTGGGCACTTGTGGTGAGGCTCCTCTGTGGAGACTGAGGACGAGTAGAGCTTCAGTGAGCATCTTCTTGTCTAGGACCAGGCTTCAGGCCTAGCTCTCTCTTGGGACTTTAGGTCAGGCCTAGTGTTGGGGAGTGTGGTGACCAAGGTCATGGGAATGCCATTTCCTGAGTCTGTAAGCCGGAGACATACAGTGTCAGAGCAAAATCTTGGGACTTCTTTTTTTTTTTAAACAAATAAGAGAAAACAGGCATGTTCTTTAAGTAGGAGCCCAGACCAGCTCAGAGAATCATGTTTGGGCCATGGCTGACCTATGGTCTTTTCACAGAGGTCAGGGAGGAGGGGGAGGCTTGGCAGGCTGGGTTGTCCTGTGCTGTAGGAAAGCTAGAGGCCTACCTTATGGGGAGAAGCTGACCCTGTCTGACCTGTTTGACCATCCCTTTGGGCTCCAGAGTGGCCTGGACGAGTGCCAGCTAACATTGCTGGCAGTGGTTCAACATGCTGCCCCCAACTCTGCCCCAAGCATACCAGGGTTTTTTTTTTTTTTACCCTCTGTCACATGGGAAGGGTTGTGTTCAGGCAAGGGAGGGAGGAAGAAGTGGAGAGAGAGTGTGTGTGTGTGTCTCTGTGTGTGTCTGTGTGTGTGTCTGTGTCTGTGTATTAGGGGTCTAGTTTCCAGGTCAGGCATTGGACATCCTGGGGGGTGGGAGCGGGTGGCTTCTTTTCCGCTTTCATGTAGGTGTGTTGTTGGGCTGTGAGGTTTGCTGACCTGTAGAAGAAAGACAGCTGGGTCAGCCATGTGGAGGCTGGGCCCCAGGATGGGAGAATGTGGACAGAGTGCCTGGAATGCTCCTCTTCAAGGAGACAGACCAAAGGCCTGGTCTTTGAAAGCTGGGTTTAAGCCTGATGAGTTTGAGATCCTTGTGGGGAGAACGGGAGCTCCCTGGATTGCCAAGGCAGCCTGGGTGGGGCCAGGTAAGCCTGCTAATTACCGAGTGGGAGCCGATCTAACCATGGTGTATCTGTGTGGGAATTAGCTCTGTAGGCTTCTCTCTGGGCTGCCAGGTCTAGAGTTGGCGCTAGGCTGGATGGTGGCACCCGGAGCAGCGGGTAGGCGGTGCCCACACAGGCTGCAGGAGTGAGGCGGTGGAGGGACCTCATTCTCCTTTGTTCATTATGCTGTTTCTGGTGCCAGTACAGAGGCTGTACCTTTGCATTCCTTGGTGGTGGGTATGGTGGGTGTGAGGCACCAGCAGACTGACCTGGCCCAGGTCCTGGGTGACTCTTTGACAACTTATCCTCTGTCACATTGGTAGTCCCTGCTCAGCATGGGCCTACACTGCTGGAGTGCTGTACGTTATCCCTGGGTTTCCCTGGCAGCAGAAGCCTGGACACACACACACACACACACACACGATGTCCAGAGGGGTGGGAAGGTCCTCTTGTCAACAGGCCTGATGACTGTCCTGAGTTTCTGGTGTGCTGTTGCTGGTGAGGCAGATGTGATGTGGCTGTGGCTGGGGACATGTTAACGCATGGGTGGATGGGTAAGGGCTTGGTGCTCAGAGGCTCAGAGGATGTGGAAGAAAGCCGAATGGTGTTCATGCACTCCCTGGAAAACTGTTGCTGGGCGGGATTCCAGAAAGCACCGCGCAGAGTCAGGGTGTGATGTCAGAAACCTATAATTGGAACTGAGGCAGGAGAAATCACAAGTCCCAGGCCAGCGTGGGCAACTGAGGGAGAATCTGTCTCAGATCAGTAAGGCCTGGGGATGCAGCTCAGTGGCAGAGCTTTTGCCTAGCTTGCTCAAGTTTAATCCCCAGCTCTGCACATGCTCAGAAGATGAAGGAGAGACTGGTTTGTGTGGCTTACCTTTGCTGCTCCATACTATCCAAGACAGTTCCTCTCCCAAACCACTCCTCCTGGGTGAGCCAGGGCCGGGGGTGCTGAGGAAGAGGTCATGCTGGTCTTCTCTCCTCCCAGAGAATGAGATCATCTACAACCTGGAGGAATACTATCAGCCCAACACAGCCGACCCCACCCCGGCCCCCAATCCTGGTCTTTCCAACCACCTAGACTCCCGTGAGTTAACCCTGCTGGTCCCTTCTCTCCGGTGCCTCCCATGCCATCTTCTCTCCCACTTGATGTCATCTGCTCTGCGTGAGGGTCTGAGACGCTCTCTGTCTTTCGGTCCTCACCAGAGGCCGCATTGTTTTTTTTTTTTTTTTTCTTTCTTTCTTATCTGTGTTCCTCATAGCTGGGCTCTGGAACTTGGGATTAGGCCCCTGATGGTCGCCCTCTCCCTACAGGTTGCTCCACAAAGCTGGGCATGGAAGGGGGCGCGATTGCTGACTCACAGATTTCTGCCTCATCTGTGTATGTGGGCTTCATGGGTTTGCAGCGCTGGGGCCCGGAACTGGCCCGTCTGCACCGCACAGGGATCGTCAATGCATGGACAGCCAGCAACTATGACAGCAAGCCCTGGATCCAGGTAGGAAAAAGACCCAGGGCAGGGTGATAGGGGACACAGAGAGAGGTGAATGTGGCCGCAGTGGGGGCTCAGGATGATAGGTGACCCTGAGTGAAGTATCTGTATATGGAGGGCAACTTTGGGCCTGGAGCAGGTAGGTGGAGCATGAGGGGAAATGACCTTCTTTAGATGGAGGGGGTTCAGCACCCACAGGCCTCTCTCTGGAGGCCTCTCCGGAGGGTCTTGGCACTCACACGGGCTTTTCAGAGCACAGGCTCTAGAACCTCAGAGGAGAAGGAACTAGAGAGGTAGCCAGTTGGATTTGTATGGAAAGAGCTGGATGACGAGGGCACTGCTTTTCTCACCCGGGGTCCAGGTGAACCTTCTGCGGAAGATGCGGGTGTCAGGCGTGATGACGCAGGGCGCCAGCCGCGCAGGGAGGGCAGAATACGTAAAGATTTTCAAGGTGGCTTACAGCTTCGACGGACGCAAGTTCGAGTTCATCCAGGATGAAAGTGGATCTGGGGACAAGGTGGGCCTGAAGAGGGGCTGCTAAAGTCGGCATCCTTAAGAGTCTAGCGCCCACCAAGAAGCAAGAGAGACCCTGAGAGATAGGGTGGAGGTGAATCTTCAAGCGCCCCTTGGTACCTAGAAATGTCTAGACCCCAGTTCATGTTCTGTGTTTACAGGACCTCATTTTACCTAATAGATACAGATGGAGACTCAAAATAGTGCCATACCCTGGTAGGGGTGGTGGCCGGGATCTGGGCTGCATTCTGACCATTTCAGGACTACAGTGTGCAGTTGTGAAGATGTAATTACTAAGTGGGCACCTTTTACTGCACAGATACATACAAGTCTGTCTTTCTCTCTGTCAGGAAATTGCTGTTACCATAAAATCTCTTGAGAATGTACACAGAGACACCCTGAATAGCCCTGTGTGATCAGGGGTTTATACCTGGGTTCTGTGATGACCAAGAGAGGGTTGAGAAGGATGCTGTCAAAGCAAGGGCTGCAGGCTGAGTCCACATGGGCTCTGTGGAGTCGGTTCTTCCAGGCTTCAGGCCTCTCAGGTTTGAAGAGGAGGAAGTCCCAGAGTAGGCTGGCAAGCCTGCTTCTTCCTCCAGCCCTACCCCTCCCTTCTAGGAGTTTTTGGGTAACCTGGACAACAGCGGCCTGAAGGTGAACATGTTCAACCCCACGCTGGAGGCACAATACATAAGGCTGTACCCTGTTTCGTGCCAACGAGGCTGCACCCTCCGTTTCGAGCTCCTGGGCTGTGAGTTGCATGGTGAGTGCTGACATGTAACTTCCTCCGTCCCTGCGTTGTGAGCTGTTCAGAGTCCTTCCCAGGAGTTCCTGTCTGCCAGTCCATTGCTCTGGGCGTTTTGGATGGCCATTTCACTTCTCGGTATTTCTGCTTATTTTAATTCCTGGTGCTTCTAGAACAGGCAGCGAATTCCACGATGGCAGGGAACTGTCTGTTTCCTTTGTTGCTGTACTACCAGGGCCTCAGACATGTGGGTGCTTAGTAAATCTTTGATGAGAGATGAATGAATGAATGAATGAATGAATGAATGAATGAATGAATGAATGAATGGACACGCAGATGCATTATTCATCCAGGATCCCCGGCTGGGAGGTGCAAGCATAGTACCTTCCTTTCAAGCATCAGCTACCCGCTTTGTTAAGTCGTGCAGGTGCTTCTGGGACCCTAGAGCATAGAGCTTCTACAGATAAGGGGACCATAAAGGGACAGTTTGCTGCTGAACCAGGGAGAGTACCCTCTGGTGAGGTCCTTGTGATCAATACTGCCAGCTAGTTAAAGGTCCACTGTCTCTTTTTGAGGCTTTTCTCTTTGCAGCCACAGTGCCCTCTGCTGGCTACATGGGGTGGAAGTGGGGCTGGCTGTGCTGGATTAGAGAGCTCAATCTTCATAAGCCCGCCCTCACGCCCTTCGGTGCTTCCTTTGCTTATCAATGGCATTGTTTCCTGTTACTTCATTTTAGATACCACCCAGTACCACCCTGAGCTGAGCTCTGAGTCCCATCGGTTTGTTTTTCTTCCCTCCAAGTGCTAGCAGCTCAGGCTTTTTGAATGCCAGGCACACATACCACCACTGATGCTCTCTCTCTCTTTCTTGCTTTTGAGACAGGGTTACTTTACATAGCCCTGGCTGTGCTGGAATTCACTGTGTAGTGTAGACTAGGCTGGCCTTGAACTCATGGCGATCCACCAGAGTGCTGGGATTAAAGGCATGCTTCCTCATGCCCAGCCCCAACCCCCCCTTTTTAAAGTATGGATTTAAGCTAATATGCTCCCGTAACCAAACTTGGGGTCACAGTCTGTACCACAAGAAATCCAACTTGGCCTCCTGGCCTCAAGGACTAAAATGGCCAAATTAATAGTAAAAAGTGGAAGACATTTATTCTATGTAGCCATATGAGGGAAGACGGATCTCCTCAAGTCCATATTTGGTGTCCTGAAATGAGTTTAAAGTTTAAATAGAGGGCCAGGGATATGCACATTTAAGCAGTCCTGCCTGAGATGTGGACCCGCCCCCTGCTGACTCACCATTGTCTGGGCTGCTGTCTCATCCTGGTCGGGCAAGTTGTTAGCATGTATGAAATCTTTTTCCGGATGGCACATTCCCCTTCACGTGCCCTTCTCCCAGCGTGGGATTCCTGGGGAAATTTGCATTTCTTGGTGTCCATTGTTTCAGTAGTCTGATAGTCAGATGGAGAGACACAAGTGGCTCTTTAGAATATCAATTTCTGCCAGGAAGTTTGTCCTTCTTCGAGGGCCATTGCCTTTTTTTGCTTCATGTGGCTTAGTATCTGGCAAAGGACGATCCAGGTCAGGCCTGGCCACTGCTCCCTGGGATCTCCCAGCTTTCACTGCTGTCTTAGCCTGAGGCCTTTGCTTCTTATAGTTGCCAAAGCCGTGAAGCCACGAGCCGTATGAGGCTCAGAGTGGGGTGAGCTAAGCCTCACACCACGGAGAGAACTGTGCCATCTGCCTCCCTCTTTGCCTGGCAGCATAGTGTGTGTAGGCTGACGCCCAGGTGTCCTGGGAATCCACAAGCCTCCCCACACCGGGGTTGTTATTTTTAGCAGACAGTGTCTTTTGTGACTTAACTATTTAATTTAGACATTTCATAAGTTTCCCCCGAATACTTAGATCCAAGGAATAACACAACTGAGGCCTTTGACTTCATGAAATTTGCATTCTCTCAGGGGAGCCAGAGGTGAGATTAGCAATGGTGGGTAAGATGGGTCAGTGGTCAGAAGGCCCTGCTGCTTTTCGGGAGGACCTGGGTTTGGTTTCCAGCACATACACCAGGTGTCTTCACAACCATGTGTCAGGCCAGTTCTGGTTCCTTCTTCCAGCCTCTATGGGTACTGCACGCACACAGTGCTTATACATACACTTGGGCACACATAATAAATAAATAAATGAAGAAAGAAAGAAAGAAACAGAAGAAGGAAGGTCAGCTAGCAGCAAGAACGCTGAAGGAGGAAGTGATAGTCGGGGGGGGGAGCAGTGTGGGGACTCCAGCTGGAGAGCCTGTCTCAGGGAGATCTTGGAAAGAATATTTTAGGAGGAGAATTGCAAGGATAAAGGTCAGGGGCCTGTTGAAGGACAAAAGAAAGCCATTGGGGCTGGATCCTAGAGTGTGCGGTAGAGTCCCAACGGTTCTTGAGTCTGGGGTGAGGATTGAAATCAACAAACCAGCATAACCAACAACATATGGGACCTCTCTGCGAGGCTCTAGTAGAAGCTAGGCGCCTTGCTTTATTCCAGACTCCTTTTAAGTCAGAGCAAAAACACCTCAGCACAATGAATGAATTTACAAGGAAGTCAAGCAAAAGGTGTGACTTTGACAAGACATTCTACCTGCTGTCTCAAACAAAAGGAGATAGACTCGGTGACTTAACACTGACTCCAGTGAAGGCCAGGCGAAAGCAGTCTTTCCACTGAGATATAAATAACAAAACAGCCTGGTAGACCAGAAGCGGCTCCCAACAGGTCTCCCTTTTTTATATTTTAAAAATTGACCATAACTTAAGAGCTATGGAGCAGAAAATGTTTTAGGTTGTCTCTCTTAGAAGATATATTCTCACCCATCATTGGTACATGAATTCCATCATTCATGCCCTGTCTTAGGTTGATTATTTTTTTAGAGAGATTTTGCCTGTCTTGGACTACCAACCTCCGCTAGGGTAGACACTGGGGTTTAATCTTATGCAGATCAGCTCAGCTTTAACATTCTAAAAGGCGTTCAGGAAGGTTTTAGTTGTTACTAGTAGGAGACATGCTCCTAATAAGAGTAAGAAGCCAAGTCCAAATAACACTCCATAAAAGTGACTTAAAAGATGACCCCTTATGTAAATACCAAGCTTGAGAAACATTCACAGGAACCATAATAAAAGACTGTCAAACAATCAGAACCATTTGAAAGCTTAGAAATACAGTTTGTTAGTTTACATCGATGGCAAGAAACATTAAAGTTTGAATCTTGTATAAAAACGTAAACATTTCCACACAACAAAGCATAAGGAAAATGTACATAGGCAGTTATAGAACCTCCCAAAAGTTTCTGTGGCAACCTTCCAAATATAGGTCTGCTGAAAACCAGAATCAGACCAAAGTCCCATAGTCAGTCCTCTTTTCCATTCTTCCTGATTTTGTTGAGAATTGTTCTCATTACCAGATTAATCAAGTCCAATCACGTTGTATAAGAGGTTTCTCTGCATAACATCTCACAGGAGTAGAATGAAACAAAGGTGGGTCAGGAGCATAAGCCCAGTGCAGCTTTCCGTTCACCATCAGGACAGAATTCACCATGGTCAGGAACATCCTCCTTCCGGGGAACAGCTCCTGCAAATTGCACCAGCCTCTCTGGGATCCACCTGGCTCCTTCTGTGTCCTTCAGATAAACACAAACGTGCCCTCTTCTCCATATTAATACAGGGTCAGGGCCCTGCCATATTCCAGTAATCGGATCTTTGCATTTTATCTTTGTTATTTGGGTGCCACAATCAATCAGCTGCAGGACAGCCTTGTATATCCACATTCAAAAATTTTAAAATAAAGAGAGCATGATTAAGATAATTCTGTGGTGTTGGGGGATACAACTCCGCTTTTTTTTATTTTTTGCAATTGGTTCTTAAGAGATCTGTGGGCACTTTCAACAATTCCTTGGCCTCGAGGATTGTATGGAATACCCGTTTTATGACTTACAAAAACACTGAAAAGCTTGACTAATATATGCATTACCATTATCAGCCTTTATAATGGAAGGAATACCAATTGTAGCAAAACACTTTAAACAATGACTTATAAAGTGTTTGGGGCTTCTCCTACTAAGAGAGTTGCCATGATAAATCCTGAAAAAGTATCAATTGTTATGGGAACATATTTTAGTTTTCTAAATTCTGGGGTATGAGTAATGTACATTTGTTGTTTAGAATGGTTTTAACCCTAGGTTTTAAAGTAAGTTAACTTTATGTTACAGATTTTACTCATACCCAATAACTAATAATCTATAACCAAGACATATTGAACATGGTAAACTTATACCTTTAAGACAGGCAGACAAAACACCTTGCTACTTGTGAATCCTATTTTTTATGACTATAGAAGCTTTGTAGTAGAATTAACCATTAGCTTTTTTACTGGAAAAACTGAGAGCTGCCTTTTTTTTTTTTTTTCCTAGCCTTAGCATGACAGTGCTCAGCAAATTCTAGCTTCCATAACAAATGATCTTTTCCTGCTAAACATTCTCTTGCTAATTTCATCTGGTCCCCTGGACAGGAGGCCTCAGTAGGCAAGACTCTAACAGAACATGAGTAAAAGGTGCTGTAGGACTATATTGAGAGCATGCAGTTTTCAATTCTTGTATTTGTTTACAAGCTCTAAGTGCAGGGACTTTCAGCATATTATCCTGTCCATCAGTTTGCTCAAGCACTGGAAAACTATAAAACTCAAGTTATATCTTCTTTAAATTTTTGCCTAGATTGTTTTTTTTTTATTTTTCCAACTCTGCAACCTCATCAGGATCTAAGTTATTTTTAAAGTCTTTTTCTAACAAGAAATTATTATCATTTAGAAGGGACATATAACTATTCTGGAGGAGCTGATGGTCTAATCTTATTTTGTCTCAAAGCCTCCCATCTTTTTACCTCTATCTCTCTAAGCCTGAAAGTTTCACTTTCTCAGTTCCATGCCACATATACAGACTATCTCTAATTAAATTCCATACAAAAAACCACGAGGCCATTGCCTTGTCCCATTTTTACTCTCGGATTTTACTCATTGCTCCCTTTACAATTCGATCTTGCCAACACTCTCGGTGTCCTTTATTGCTTCCCTGTATCTCAAGCCCCACATTGGGCGCCAAATTAATAAACCAACACACAACACATGCGAGTTTTCTGAGAGGCCCTAGTAGAAGTTAGGCGCCTTGCTTTATTCCAGACTCCTTTTAAGTCAGAGCAAAAGCACCTCGGCACAATAAATAAATTCACAAAGAAGTCAAGCAAAAGGTCTGACTTTGGCAAGACATCCCGCCTGCCGTCTCAAACAAAAGGAGGTAGACTTGGTACCTTATCACTGACTCCAGTGAAGGCCAGTGAAAGCAGTCTTTCCACTGAGATCTGAATAACAAAACAGCCTGGTAGACCAGCGGCTCCCAACAGGATTCGTGGAGGGTGATGAGCTCCATGGGCCAACCATTTCAGCAATGTCTTCTAACTCCACTCTGGACCTGCTGGTTCAGCCATGAGCAGGTGCTGCAGGGGCAATTTGAGTGAAAACTGTCAGCTATTTCTGAGAGTGATCCTGGCGGGCAGAGTGAGGCGACAAAAGCCATGCTTTGGGTATACACACCAGTAAGCCAGAAACGTTGGGGTGTACCAAGGCTCCCCACTACTTCTTAAGTAATGCTCTTGGGAAGGGCACGGAAGCATCCCCGAACTCCAGGAATTCCTGGGTTTCACTAGCCTGCAGGTAGCTGCTGGAGGGTAGGAGTGTATGCCACAGGGCTTCAAAGGTCCTAGCGTGGGGGATGGTGTCACATTTGGTGTGATGGTCAGGATCATGTGTATGAGATGTTGGTACAGTGAGGTTGTGTGAGGTGTCTGACTCACTCACTTGTGTCCAGAGAGAAAGGTAGGGAGTGCTGGGAGTCTGACCAGGCCAGGAGGTCTCGGTGATCTTCTAGGTACAAGTTGGGGTAGTGATAGGGGTCAGAGCTGATGGCTGGCAGCTCTGTAGTGAAGAGACAGAGGAGAGCAAGCAAGGGTTAGACAGCAGTTGGCCTTGGAAGGCAGATAGAAAGTCCAAGAGGGTGCCAATTGGGGTATGGTGGCCTGGTACCTCCTGTTTGGGAAGCTGAGGCTGGAGGATCTTTTTTATTATTTTATTTTATATTTTTTAAGGTAGGTTTCTCTGTGCAGCCCTGGCTGTCCTGGAAACTGGAGGAGCCCTTGAGTGCAGGAGATCAGAGGCTGGGTTGTCACTCACTAACAGTGCTTGTAAGAAGCTGTGGGTTTGGCTTCCAGCACCATATAACCTGGGCATGAGGGTGCTCTCCTGTAATTCCCTCACTGGGGCAGTGTAGGCGAGGATCAGACATTCAAGGCCATCCTGGACTGCATAGTAAATTTAAGCTAGCCTGGGCTACATGAAATAATGCCTCAAAACCCAAACCAAACCCCAAACCAAAATAAAAGCAGTTAAAGAACCACAGTCCTTTCTCCTTTACTGTTTCGTACCTACACATACTGGTGACTGTCCTTTTGCCCACAGGGTGTTCTGAGCCCCTGGGCCTGAAGAACAACACTATCCCTGACAGTAAGATGACAGCCTCCAGCAGTTACAAGACATGGAACCTGCGTGCCTTCGGCTGGTACCCCCACTTGGGGCGGCTGGACATGCAGGGCAAGATCAATGCTTGGACTGCTCAGAGCAACAGTGCCAAGGAGTGGCTGCAGGTGAGAGTGGGCGGGATTTGTGACCTCTGCGGGGCCCCACCTTCTGCTCTGCAGAGGGTTTCCTGAAAAGTCTCCATTTTCTTTGCCTTTTCTTTCTTCCTCCCATGCTTCCCTTTTCCTCTTAATCCTGCTTCCACCAAGGCCCCCACATGAAAAAGGGGTGTGAATACACACACACACACACACACACAGAGAGAGAGAGAGAGAGATGCAGGAGTAGCGCCTCCCTGTGGCAGCATGGAAGGATGGCAGTGTCCTTTAGGACTTCAGCAATGCACGGATGTTCTCCCATTCAGTATAACTGGGAAATCTCAGCGGAAATGGAAAACCAGAGGGAGGGTTGCTGATAGGGAAGCCGAGTCCTGGCCAATTGTGTGGGGCTTACCTGCTGGTTTGGGGTGAGCTGGGCTTATAGCCTAGATCTGGGGCTGCATGTCCAGGACGGTCAGGGACAATGACAAACACTTGTCTGTAGGTGAGAGGTGCTTAGTTGGAGTTGGTTTCATTAGGATTCACCTGCTCTTGGGCACTCTCTCAGGACCTTGTGGGGCTCCAGGAAGCCTGACAGCTTTCAGAAGCCATTTCCTCTCCTGCAGACTGTGGCCTCTCCACCTGTTCATCATACCCCAGTATACATCTGATGCAGGAGCTGGCAGGGTTGGCCAAAGCCCGGATCTCTGAAATATACTCCACTGAGCTTTACTGTGCTGGAGTTTGTGTGTGTTAAAGTGAATTATTTATGTGCTTTTATTTATTTCGTACTTCACATTTTTTGTGTTATTGGAGGTAGAACCCAGGGCCTTGGGCATTCTAGACCAGTGCTCTGCCACTGAACTATATCCCCTGTCCTTGGTACTTTGAGACAGGTGTTGCTATGTAGCCAGGCTTCATAGCTTTCAACTCTATCCTCAGCCTCCCAAGTGCTGGGGTTAGAGGTGGGTGGCATCATACATGGCTTTATGTTCATTTTGTGAATGAGTGTCTTTGTAAGGTTTGCTGTGATAAAACACCATGACCAAAAAGTAAATTGGGGAAGAAAAGGTTTATTCAGCTTACAATTCCATATTGCTGTTCATCACTGAAGGAAGTTGGGACAGGAACTCAGATGAGGCAGAAACCTGGAGGCAGGAGCTGATGCGGAGGCCATGGAGAGGTGCTGCTCACTGGCCTGCTCCCCATGGGTTGCTCAGCCTGCTCTCTTACAGAGTCTAGGACCGCCAGTCCAGGGATGGAACTTCCTGCAACATGCTGGGCCCTCCCCCATCCAACACTAATTGAGAGAATGCCTTACAGCTGGATCTTAGGGAGGCCGTTTCTCAACTGAGATTCCCTCCTTTCAGATAACTCTAGCTTGTGGCAAGTTGCCTGGTCAGCACAGTGAGGAAATGGGCTAACAGGTCATCCCCACTGTGTCTGCCTTTACACCTTCCCGAAGAGGCTTGAAGCTAGAACGTTGTTGTTTGTTCCTGTAGGTTGACCTGGGCACTCAGAAGCAAGTGACTGGAATCATCACCCAGGGGGCCCGTGACTTTGGCCACATCCAGTATGTGGCGTCCTATAAGGTGGCCCACAGTAATGACGGCATGAAGTGGACCATGTATGAGGAACAAGGGACCAGCAAGGTGGGAGTCTCGTCTAGATGCGGTTCCTGGGACACTGTGGGGTTCTGAGGGGTGGGGAGGTGGCAGGCTGTGGGGTACTCCTGACACTCCAGTTGTTTCCAGGTCTTCCGTGGCAACTCGGACAACAATTCCCACAAGAAGAACATCTTCGAGACGCCCTTCATGGCTCGCTACGTGCGCATCCTTCCGGTGTCCTGGCATAACCGCATCACCCTGCGCCTGGAGCTGCTGGGCTGTTAGTCCTTCCAGCCCAAGTGACCAGAGTGGCCAGAGGCTGAGGGGCCTCGCGTCCCTGCCTCCCGGGTCCTGCTGCCTTCTGTGGCTGACTGCCTTCTCAGCCCTCCCTCTGATTGTACAGGGGCCGGAGACAGGGGGAGGGGTTGTCAGACTTGCCCCTCACCCTGTAGCCTCCACAGGCCTCCTGCTAGCCCCTTTTCTCAGGCATTCTGGGGGAGTCAGATAGGTCTGAGATGAATAGGGAAGAAGAGCGAAGTCGGGGTACGTGAGCTATCTGTACCAACCACCCCAAGTCCTAACCTTCCTGCTAGGGGTCGACTCAAGGCTAAAGGGACCTCTGGCTCCCCGCCCCGCTCTGCACACCACACATTCCTCCATTTTCCATTCCGGGAAGAAGAGGCCCACGCCTGCTTGCTGCCCCTTGGGTCACCAGATACCACCTCTTATCTCCCGAGACCCCTCTTGACCCTTGCTCTGCCGCCTCGGATGGCAAGGGCACTGGTGGGTCTGGAGAGACAGGTGGGCTCTGGCTGGTTGGCAAGCTGGCTGTGGGGCCTCTGCTGGCTTGCTACCCAGGTTAACAGGCAGATTCCAAAATACATTTGTGTTCTCCACTGGAACTTCTGTGCCTGCCTCCTCATTGCCCTGTCCACCCCAGACCGCCCGGTGCTGCTCTCCGCACCCACCCCCACCTCCACCCCTGTCCTCCAGAGCCCAGCACTCTTGTGTCACTTGCCAGATTGCAGATAGCTTAAGAGCAGGAGTGGGAGACTGTGGGTGGGGTGGGGTTAGGAGTCGGTTTCCTTCTCCTCCAAGCCTGATGCACATCTTCCCCTGTCTCTCTACATCTATATACTGCCCTGGGTCTGGCCTGTGGCTGGCGTCTGGGGAAGGGTCAGGGAGGGCCTGGCAGAGAGGTGGCTCCTGTGAATTCCCCTGCTCCCTTCCCTCACTAAGAAGGTGGGTGAGGCCTGGCTACTGGTTTCTCCTTTGGGAGTTTTCATTTTCTTTGTAAAAGGAGGGCTGGACTGGAGACTTTATTAGAAGCCCGGTTTGCTTTATCCAGCAAACCTGGATTTCAGAAAAAGAAATGGGCTAGGTGGTGGGGTGGGGTGGGGCTGAAGGGAGGCAGAGTAGAACGGAAGGAAGGGGTGAGGTGGTGCCAAGTAGGATTATGGGCAAGAGCATGCTGATTCCTGAAGGCCACTGGTAGAAGGAAAGGGGCTCTCTGCTCTGCAGGGGACCATAGGAAGTGGCCAGTGGAAGCTATGCCCTGGTCTTCTGGAGAGGGTTGGCTGGGGGAGGCAGATAGGTCTGAGATGAATAAAGGGTGTCGGAAACGACCACCTTTTTCAATATTTCTGTCCCATGAGAGCTTCAGGAGCCACACTATGGCTCTCTGGGAAGCAGTAGGGTGGCCGCTTGGCTCCTGAAGGGAAAACAAATAGTTGTATTTAGAATCCCATAAGGGACGCTGTCAGGAAGTGCTGCTTGCTGAGAGCTGTCCACTCTTGCCAGGGCTTCTTGTGGACAGAACAGAGTAAGAGGCTCCGTGGTATTCTCCCCACGAAAGAGACGGGAGACTGCTTGACCCGGAGGGCATCTCAGCCTGAAGCGTTGCTTGGGCATTTCACTGAGTCCTGTGGGTGGAATTCGGAATCTAGACTTTCTGGGGTTTGTTGTCCTCGGTCCTCCTTCCTGGAGGGCACTACCCAAGTCCCTGCTATGGCCTTCCCTGAGGACCAGGACCTGCAGGGGATGGGAGAAGCATCCCCTTTCAGAAACACTGCTTGGGATGGCTTTGCCACCTGGGAATTCACTGCACAGGAAATGACACCTCTCACCACATATGTTACCCAGCTCACATTGAACAGCTGTTTCTGTGGGCCAGACATTTGACTGGGTTGCTGGCACATGGGTAGATGGGGCCTGGAGCACAAGCCCCCCACCTGGTGTGGGAGGCTAGTATTGCCCAAGCTTGTTTCTCGTTTTTGTCTTTTGTAGCCTTGTATGCCTTGGCCACAGTCTTGAGAAAGTTTGTGTTCCGTGGTCCTAGCCCGGAGCCCCTCACTTTGACTTTCGTTTTCTTTTCCTTTCCTGCCTGCAGTCTAGACCACCAGACTTGATACTCTCCTGTCTACTGACCACCCTATCATAAGCTGTGCCAGTAGACCCTTCCAAAACCACAGACTGTCAGCACTGAGACCACCTACCCTGCCTCTGCCAAGGGGCTAGGCTCCTGTCTGTTCCTAGTTTAAATATGGCAGAGTGTTCTGGAGCCTAAAACTTCAAGGCAGACAAACATGGCTCGTATCCTAGCTCTGAGTGACGTTGGTTCTTTGATCATCTACAAAACGGAAATAGGGACTAAAGGAGAAATAGCACAGAGCACTGATGCCAAGCCTGGCCCAGGCACAGCCTCAGGGGCTTGTGGGAGTTTCCTCATTGGTACTTGTATCCTGTTTCTTCATCAGTCCATCCAGGGCTCAGGTCCATCTGTAACCTGCAGGGGAACCTTCACAGCATCCTTTGCTTGTATGCCTGGTATTCATTTTAGAGGACACAGACACACACACGGTCAGGGCTATCTAGAGGTATGTTTAGAAAAGCCTGGACTCATGACCCCTGTGGCCTTTCTCTGAAACCCTGGCTGAAGGACCTCCTTAGGTTTCTCTGTTGAGGAAACAACTAGGCCATGCAGGCCAGGGCCTGGTCCTTTTGGACAGGAAAGAAAACACCCTGTCCAAACAGAAGCATCCTGAGATGCTGCTGTCTGGGGAACAGATGTCAGGAGCCCTTCAAGAGGAGCTGTTAGAGGAGCACCTATCGTATCCTTGCTCACCCCCAACCCCAGGACCTCCTAGGGTCAGGTCTATGTGTGTGGCTAGCCATCTCTCCGTGTCCAGCCACTGGCAGAAGGTTGTCATACAGGAAGCAGGCACACATAACTTACTCCTCTTGAACCACATGGGGCATTCACAGCCCACCCGCAGAGTGCTGAAGGGGCTTCCCTTTTTAGAAGCTTCGGTATTTTAATGGGACCTCCCACCTCAACAAACAGTGCTCTGCCAGCTCCCTTTCAACTCCTACCCCAAGATGTGACAGCTACGACTCCTGAGAATCCTGACTATCCATTCGCTACTCGCCAGCCAGCACTTCCAGGTTTGGGGTCTGGACTCCAGCTCTTAACAGCTCCTACTCCCTGGGGATCAGGCCTTTGGAAGGCAAAGGGAGTGTGTACCTTTAAGGGGTTGGTCCGCTGGGAGCGCGGGGTTTGTTGGAAGCAGCTTCCTTTCGGGCCATTCAAGTTCCCAAATTCTGCTGCTTCAGACCTGGACCGCCCGTGGCCTCAGCGTGTCGCAGTCGTCCCGAGTGTTGGAGCTGTCGAAGGGTCTGCTGGGGACGGTACACGTGGCTGGGGGTGGCTGTGTTGGTGGGGGGGGCTTTGCATGCAGGTTTTTCCGTTCTCTCCTAGGGGACTCTGCGGTTGCCAGGGAGGCTGGGGATTGGAGACAGGGAACAGGGGCAGAGTGAACTGGGGACCGTCTGCCACGACTTGCGTGCGAGCGTGCAATTTTTTTGGGGGGAGCTACCAAGAGGTAAAACCAGTTGGGCGCGGTGGTGCACGTCTGTAATCTCAGCACTCGGGGGAGGCAGAGGCAGGCTGATCTCTGTGAGTTCCAGGCCAGCCTGGTCTACAGAAGCCCAGGACAGCCAAGGTTACACTCAGAAACCCTGTCTCCATAAACCGAAGACCGAAAAGGGGCAGAGGGAGAGAAGAGAGAAAGAAAACAGGTAAAACGACAGGGAGACCCGGGGATACTGAGGACTGTCGCCTTCTGCCTGTAGTAGCTCGGTACTGTCTGTACCAACCCTGTTCCAGGCATCCATGGGATTCAGCAGGAGCCACTTTGGGGCGGGACGGATTGGGGACAACCTGCATAGGTGTGGGGGAGGACATGTGCCTTTAGTCCACACTGAACACGTGGGGACAAAGCACAAGGTGCCCAGCTAGCACCTGGAGCGCCTGCCTTAAGGACAGGAGTGCCCCGGGGCAAACCGTGGGTGCAAGCTGGCCTCACGCAGGGTGGAGGCCAGGAAGGAAAGGCGCAGGCACTTGGACCCAGCCCTACCCCCAGCTCGTTGGGTGGTCATCGGCCACCTGCGTTCCTGTTTGATAAAGCGCCTCCAGGCTGACCCAGGGAGAGCCTCTTCTCTATGAGAGAGTGGTGGTGGTCCGAGGTGCCCTTCTTCCCTCCAGCGACTAGCATCAGGAGGCCCTGGAACGCTTGTGGAAAACGCCCCTCTCTTCATGGTGGCAGAATATCAAAGGCTTGGTAAAGCCTGTTTGGAACCGGGCATTAATGTCAGATTCCTTCCTGAACTAGCCTAGTGTTTCTGGGGGCCAATCCTGCCCCCTGCCGGTGTCTAATTCGTATCAGTGGCTCAGTTGCAGCGTGAATATGGTAGAGGTGACGTCCCTTTGCTTGTCAGGACTCAGTTTAGTTTTGTTCTCTTTGGACCTTCCTTGGCCATTGGTGCCCTGGGAAGGCAGAGGGTTGGTGATCATGACGTTGCCTCTATACCCCAGATAACTAGCCAGAGATAAATAAAGCCTCCGGTGGTTCACTTTTCCTCAGTTGTGAAGGGAAGCTGAGGGTGGCTGCTTCTCTCCTAGCTGCTGAGAGAGGAGAAAGAGCACCCTCTCCTAACACCAGTCAGAGGGGCCGAGGTTGTTTGAGGTTTGTCTGCATCGAACAGTGTGCTCTGTGCTCTACAGATGCCCTCTGGTCTTCCAAAGAGTGTTTTCTGATGGGCGGCGTGGACCCTTTTATGAATGAAGACACTGAGGCTCAGGGGCAGGCTGGTTCTAAAAGGACAAAGCCGGAACAGCATCCAAGCAGCCAGTCTCGTCAGTGCCACGGTATTACGTAGCTGCTGGCTGAGACAGGATGAAGTAGAACCCAGGTGCCTATTCTGCATTAGTGATAGAGGACTTTAGACATTGCTTCTGCCCACCCAGGCTTCTGCTCTGTGGTTAATCGTAGCATTCTGGGACCACCTTTGTCTTCAGCCTTTAAGCGCCAGTCTGCTCAGAAGGGGTAGGGCTTGCATTCAAGAGGCCAAATGGCTTGCTGAGGATCACTCAGAAGGTGGCAGAGCCTGGGTTCAAAGCCAGCAAGTAAATCTTTGGGTTTTATGAATTCTCCCCTGTCATGTGGTTATAGGGCGCTGGGTTACGTCCTCTCTTACTAACTTCTTTTATTTGGCCTGGCATATCCCTGGTGGAAGGCCACACGCCTGCAGGGCCAGCATCATACCCTCCACTTGCATAGTGCTAATAAAGTCTGATTTAAGTGGAGTTGGATGCTCAGGCAACTGAGGTCAGAAGGGCTGGGGGTGGGTGGCGAGCCTGTTCTTTGCGTTTGGTGTGGAGAGGCTTTGATGACCCACATTTGATTGATTGGAGGTCAGGAGTCACCCAGTGCCACCCTGGAAGACTACAAATCAGATTCACACTGTGCGTCTTCTGAAGATTCTTCCCGTCTTCCTTCTTAGAAAGTCCAAGGGGATGTGTGGCAGGGCCGCTGGCCACCACATGGGCATTGCTTCCTGAGAC